AACAAATGAATAAAATGCCATATTATCTTGAAAAACTGGTAGCTTTCTCGCTCTGCCGAGAAGGGACAGGCAACTACTTGATAAACTGTTGCTATCTTCTTTAGGGAAACCTTCCAACCCCTCCTTGGGCAATCTTTCTTAACCCTGCTGGCATGAGGCCCCAACTCCCGGCTCCAAGCTGCATTATGGATAGCCCGAATGGTCCCTTACCAGGCAATGGTTGCTGCAGATCTGCCAAGCTGGTGTCCTTTTAGTTTCTCCACGAAGGCTGTGGAACTGTAACTGTACTCTCTAGCAAAGCTGTAGAGGTTTTCCCTTTTCCCCAGCAAAAGCTGGCTGTAGATCTGTTTCTTTCACCCCAGCAGAGCTGTAAGAAGAGAAGCTTTTTACAGGTGGGGTAGAGAAAAGCCCACATGTCCTTCTGTAAGGCTTCAAACTGTGAGACTGAACTGAAAGTCCCCCTTTCCCTCCAAAACCTGGGGAAAGGGGCGGATCTAAAGGCTCTAATGATGATTGATAGGTCGTTGGCCCTATGATTGCAACCTGGGGAAAGCTACCCTATTGCAAAATGCATGGCCCAGATGAAATTCACACAAATTAACATTGCAAGAAAAAAGAATCAAATCTCCTGGCATAGCCGTGCCAGCACAATCCATATAATGACCTTTCGGATATCCATATGATGACCCTTTGGCCACCAATTCATCTCTTAACCACCTGTACTTCAAACTAAATATATTCAGGTCCTTCGCATTCCTAGTCTTATACCATCTTTTTCTACCATGGATGCATTCTAAGTTGTCAAATCTTCCATTCCTAATGCATAATTTGAAATTCCTGCTATGATTTGTGGTGCCTCAAACTGGAAGAGTACACTAGGAAAGATCAGCAAAAAGCAGACTGGTGTACTTCTCATGATCTGGATATTTGGGCCCCTTCCGCACAGCTATATAAAATCCACATTGAACTGGATTATATGGCAGTATGGACTCTCATAATACGGTTCAAAATTGATATTTGGATTATCTGCCTTGATATTCTGGGTTATACGGCTGTCTTGATGCAGCTCATAGCTGTGCATGAGTCTAATCAGTTGTAACTCTGAGTACAATGGGACTGTCTCCATCCAGCAAGATCTATCCAGCTCCAGCCTCAAATGGTATAATTATTTTATGTAATTAGCCAAATGTCAGGAGAATTAGATAAATGTCAGATGAACGCACATGTAGCCCAATTCAGGGTGCTATTTATAACCTATAATATAAAGCTATATCGGCTAAGAGACACATTCTTTAGACATAGGCTGTGTGTGTGTGTATATATATACATATACACACACACATAAACACACACAACCTATGTCTAAAGAATGTGTCTCATGTCCCATATAGCTTTATAGGGACATGGTCATAACTATCTTGATGACTATCTTGTTCATAACTTGGGGACTTTCTCTCTTTCTCTCTAAAGCTATATGGGGCATGAGACACATATATCTTTAGATATAGGCTCTGTGCGTGTGGATGCATATTGCTGTTTTTAAATTGTTTTAAATTGTTTTAAAATTGTGTTAGATTTTAGCCTGTTCTTGTAAGCCGCTCCGAGCCCCAGGGGAGTGGCCGCATATAAGTTTGAATAAGAAATAAATAAATAAATAAATAAATATGTGACTAAAGAATATGTGTCATGTCCCATATAGCTTTACAGGGGCATGGACATAACTTGGTGACTATCTTGTTCATAACTTGGGGACTTTCCCTTTCTCTAAAGCTATATGGGGCATGAGACAATTCTTTAGACAGAGTCTGGGTGCGTATGTGTGTATATATAGAGAGAGAGGGAGAGAGAGAGAGGATTTATGGCAATATGGACTCAGGGCCCTGCCACACAGCCATATAACTCAGCTGTAAAACCCAGAATATCAAGGAGAATAACCTATAATATATAGGAGCCCCCAGTGGCACAGTGGGTTAAACCCTTGTGCCAGCAGGATTGAAGACCGAAAGGTTGCAGGTTTGAATCCAGGGAGAGTGGGGATGAGCTCCCTCTGTCAGCTCCAGCTCCCCATGTGGGGATATGAGAGAAGCCTCCCACAAGGATTGTGCAGGTACAGCTGTACCAGGAGCTCCAATTTTGTTTGCTTTGCATTGAATGTTTGTTATAGTCCTAAATTTCAGGGCTCTGCAGATATGTGGCTTCTTTTGGCTGCAATTATTGGGCAAGCCACCTGTTAATTATCGTTAGGTTCCCTGGTCCCGCCCCTTTTTTAGTTTCGGAGTGAATAGGAGCCATTTTGGCTCAGTCCACACAGAGAAGCTTTTCATGCAGGACATAATACCAAGAGCTCCTGTAGAAAGCTTCGTCTTCTACAGCTTGGCCGGGAGAAAAGGCTCTACAGCTTGGCTGGGGTTATACAGCCCGCAGCTTGGCCGAGGATCATACAGCCTTACAGCTCCTTTGCTGAGGGACTTCAGTCAGCCATCATTGAAACCTGAACTCCTTTTTCCCTGGAAGTCTACAAAGCTCTGCCTGGTAAGGGTCTCTTGCGGAAGCCAGAAGCAGTTGGTACCGGGTGTAGGGGCTCCACGCCAACAGAGGCAAAAACAGACTGCTCAGATTAGAAGGTAAGGATTTCCCCATTTGTTAAAATACAGTTTATGAAGATAGTGCCTGTTTCCTGTGAACAACATTGGGAGAGAGAGCCAATAGACTGTTACGAAAGCCTTGAAGTACCTGTTTGTTTTCATTAATAAAGAACTTTGTTGAACCAATCTAAAGACTCTGTTTAAGGAAACCCAAAGGCCTTTAAACTGAGGCAGCCCCGGCGTCCCGTTGGGCACGCAGAATTTATGTCCTGTCTACAGTCTTATGCACAGGCTCAGCGTGCGACAGCACAAGGATGGTAAAACATCAAAACATCCTGGCATCCTTTGGGCAACATCCTTGCAGACAGCCAATTCCCTCACACCAGAAGCGACTTGCAGTTTCTCAAGTCGCTCCTGACACACACACACACACACACACACAAAACCCAAACTACAATATCTGCTTTGAACTGAGTTATCTGAGGGCCCATCCACACAGCCCTATATCCCAAAATATCAAGGCAGAAAAATCCCACAATATCTGCTTTGAACTCGGTTGTCTGAGTACACACTCAGATAATATGGGATTTTCTGCTTTGATATTCTGAGATATAGGGCTGTGTGGAAGGTCCCTTAAATAACTGTTCAAAGCAGATATTGTAGATTATCCGCCTTGATATTCTGGGTTAAATGCCTGTGTGGAAAGGCCGTAAGAAAATGGAAAGCACACTATAATTATACTTGGTGATGCATTTTGCTATTATTTCTATGGAGTTTGGAGCATTTTTATGAAAGAAAGGGCCCTTCCACACAGCCCTATAACCCAGAATATCAAGGCAGAAAATCCTACAATATCTGCTTTGAACTGGGTTATCTGAGACCTCTTCAAAACAGCTGTATAAAATCCACATTGAACTGGATTATATGACAGTGTGGACACAGATAACCCAGTTCAAAGCAATTATGGATTATCTACCTTGATAATCTGGGTTATATTTCTGTGTGGAAGGTTTCTGAGGCTGAATGTACATTGCCATATAATCCAAGTTATCAAAGCAGAAAATCCACAGAAAAGCCATAGCAGAGCACCTGACGAACCAACCTGGACACAGCATATTTTTTGAGAACACAGAAATGCTGGATCACTCCAACAACCACCATGTCAGACTACACAGAGAAGCCATTGAAATCCACAAGCATGTGGACAATTTCAACAGAAAGGAGGAAACCATGAAAATGAACAAAATCTGGCTACCAGTATTAAAAAACTCTAAAATTAGAACAGCACAACAACAGAGAGGAAACAAACAAGGACATCTAGTCGCCTCTCAACAAAAGATTGCTCCAGGCGCTGCCAGGCAATCAAATGCTAATCAAGGTGGTCAGTTGAAACATTCACACCTAGCTCCAGCAGACAAGAGTCCTTTGTCTCACCCTGGTCATACTGCCAGGCAATCACATGCTAATCAAGGTGGTCAGTTGAAACATTCACACCTAGCTCCAGCAGACAAGAGTCCTTTGTCTCACCCTGGTCATACTGCCGGGCAATCACATGCTAATCAAGGTGGTCAGTTGAAACATTCACATCTAGCTCCAGCAGACAAGAGTCCTTTGTCTCACCCTGGTCATACTGCCAGGCAATCAAATGCTAATCAAGGTGGTCAGTTGAAACATTCACACCTAGCTCCAGCAGACAAGAGTCCTTTGTCTCACCCTGGTCATACTGCCAGGCAATCAAATACTAATCAAGGTGGTCAGTTGAAACATTCACACCTAGCTCCAGCAGACAAGAGTCCTTTGTCTCACCCTGGTCATTCCACAGATATATAAACCCTTTTTCCTAGTTCCAACAGACCTCACTACCTCTGAGGATGCTTGCCATAGATACAGGCGAAACGTCAGGAGAGAATGCCTCTAGACCATGGCCATATAGCCCGAAAAAATCTACAACCCAGAAAATCCACATTATTTGCTTTATGCTGGATTATGAGTCTACACTGCCATATAATCCGGTTCAAAGCAGATAGTCTGGATTTTGCCTGGCAGTGTAGAGCCCTCCTGTGTCCACACTGCCCTATATTCCAGTTCAAAGGAGAAAAAGTGGGATTTTAGTCAGCAGCATGGAAGGGGGCTTAAGGCTGCATCTACATTGCCATATAATGCAGTTTGAAACTGCCTTTGGATGGCAAAGGTAGCCCTTTGCTAGCTGCACCAAATTTGCATCTCTTGAGCTGCCTTGGCTTTTCATTGGCGGAACCGCGCTCTGACGTCAGAGTCAGTGGACGCTTCGCCCAATCACAGGCAAGGGCGCGAGGCGATGGAATTCAAAGGCGGGGAAGTCAGGGCAACTTTCTTCTTGTCAAAGCTAAGTCTCGACCAACTTTGTGTGTGTGTGTGTGTCTGTGTGTGTGTTTGGCGCGCCCGCCCGACTCTTATTCCCTACTTCGTATTAAGGCGATGAGTGCGCATGCGTCAATTGATTTCCTTCTCCCTCGCGCTTTGAGAAGGGGGAAGAAAGTTTTTCGTTTCACCGTCTGGAAAAAGTGAAAGGGGCGGGCGGAAAAATGGCTGCGGCTGGCTTGAGGTCGTCGTTACTCCGCGAATGCCCGCTTCTTTTGCCTCAGAACCGGGAAGGGAGTGTCTACGAGGGCTTCCTCACCGCCCAGGTACACAGTGAAGCCTTTGCATGGGAAATATAGGGATTATAGGCCAGGTCAGGGCTCACTTGTCATCGATTGCCTTTCACAACAACCCTCTGAGGTAGGCCAGGGCCTTCTCAGCAGAGCAGCAAGGAGTTATCAGTAATAATAATAATAATTAGTAAGAGGCAATATAACAGTAAAATAGTAATAGTAAGAGGAAGTATAATGATAATATAGTAATAGTAAGAGGCAATATAACAATAATATACTAGTAAGCAGTATAATAATATACTGATAGTAAGAGGCAGTATAATATGCTAATAGTATGAGTCAGTATAATAATAATAATAATAATAATAATAATAATAATATAGTAATGGGAAGAGGCAGTATAATATGCTAATATGAGTCTGAATAATAATAATAATATACTAATAGTAAGAGGCAGTATAATGTGCTAATCGTATGAGTCAGTATAATAATAATAGTAGTAATAATAATATAGTAATGGGAAGAGGCAGTATAATAATAATATGCTAATAGTAAGATGGAGTATAATACTAATATACTAATAGTAAGAGGCAGTATAATATGCTAATAGTATGAGTGAATAATAATAATAATAATATAGCAATGGGAAGAGGCAGTATAATAATAATGCTAATAATAATAATACTATGCTAATAGTAAGATGGAGTATAATACTAATATACTAATAGCAAGAGGCAATATAATGATAATATAGTAATAGAGGCAGTATAATAATAATATAGTAATAGAGGCTGTATAATCATAATATACTAATAGTAAGAGGCAGAATAATAATAATAATAATCAGTAAAATAATATAGTAATGGGAAGAGGCAGTATAATAATAATAATAATAATAATAATAATAATAATAATAATAATAATAATATGCGAATAGTGAGAGGCAGTATACTAATATACTAATAGCAAGAGGCAATTTTTTTTTTTGTTGTGTCAGGAGTGACTTGAGAAACTGCAAGCCGATTCTGGTGTGGAGAATCGGTCGTCTGCAAGGACATTGCCCAGAGGACACCCGGATGTTTTGATGTTTTATCATCCTTGTAGGAGGCTTCTCTCATATCCCCACATGAGGAGCTGGAGCTGATAGAGGGAGCTCATCCGCCTCTCCCCGGATTCGACCTGTTGGTCGTCAGTCCTGCCAGCACAGGGGTATAATCATAATATACTAATAGTAAGAGGCATAATAATAATAATAATAATAATAATAATAATAATAATAATGATAATGATAATAATATACTAATAGGCAGTATAATAATATAGTAATGGTAAGAGACAGTATAATAGTATGCCAATAGTAAGAGGCAGTATATTATTATTATACTGCCTCTATTACTCTGTTATTATACTGCCTCTTACTATTACTATATTATTATCATTCATAAGATAGTAATAGTAAGAGGCAGTCTAATAATAAAGTAATAGAGGAAGTATAATAATAATATACTGATAGTAAGAGGCAATATAATGATAATATAGTAATAGAGGCAGCATAATAATATAGTAATAGAGGCAGTATAATAATAATATACTAATAGTAAGAGGCAGTATAATAATGTACTAATAGTAAGAGGCAGAATAATAATAATAATAATAACAATAATATACTAATAGGCAGTATAAGAGTATAGTAATAGTAAGTGGCAGTATAATAATAATATGCAAATAGTAAGAGGCAGTATATTATTATTATACTGCCTCTATTACTCTATTATTATACGGCCTCTTACTATTATTGTATTATAATAATATACTGATAGTAAGAGGCATTATAATGATAATATAGTAACAGAGGCAGCATAATAATAATATAGTAATAGAGGCAGTATAATAATAATATACTAATAGTAAGAGGCAGAATAATAATAATAATAATAATAATAATAATAATAATATACTAATAGGCAGTATAAGAGTATAGTAATTGTAAGAGGCAGTATAATAATATGCAAATGGTAAGAGGCAGTATAATATAATAATAATATAGTAATAGTAAGAGGCAGTATAATAATAGTAGGAAGCAGTATAATGATAATATAGTAAAAGTAAGAGGCAGTATAATGATATAGTAATAGACGCAGTATAATAATAATAATAATAATAATAATAATAATAATAATAATAATAGAGTAATGGTAAGATTATAATATAATCATAACCCAATAATAATAAATATCACAATAATAATAATAATAATAATAATAACAATCTGCAAAGACTCTGGCCCAAACCAGTCAAGGTGGTCCCAGTGGTGATTGGCACACTGGGTGCAGTGCCTAATGACCTTGGCTTGCACTTAAACACAATCGGCACTCTCAAAATGACCACCTGTCAGCTGCAGAAGGCCACCTTACTGGGATCTGCACGCATTATTCACGGATACATCACACAGTCTTAGACACTTGGGAAGTGTCTGACGTGTGATCCAATACAACAGCCAGCAGAGTGATCTTGTTTGCTGTGGACTTACCTTGTTCTATTTTAAATAATAATAATAATAGTAATAATAATCATCATCATCATCATCATCTTTCTTTTGCTGATGGTCTTACCTGGACACCTTCCACGCACAGCTCAGGGATCATTAAGGTTTTGTGTTGTTTTGTTTAAATTACGAGGTCATTTCGTCCACTGTTATTAAACCTGGTCTAAAAGATGGCATCATGAGCTGCGTTAAAACTGGAATCAGCTTTGCCACTGATTCTGGAAGGCTTAAGCTTGTGTATTTAGCATCTGGGAATCTTCTTTAGATTTCTTTCCTTTGTAATTTTCTCTCTCTCCTTAAAACAAAGGGGCTAACAGAAGTAACTGTTTATATACAAAATGTCATCACTTATACAAGGAAAATCCACTCTCCATTAACAGAGTCTATCAAAGCTATTTTATGTCTCAAAGTTACAACATTTACATATGGCAGCACATTTTTCAGTGTGTCGTTTTAAGGTGTTTTTTTAAAGCATCTTTTGGTACTTTAATGAAACACTGAATCATATTTGACCTTTCCAAAAGGTCAGAATTACATCTGCTTTTTATTTTATAAAAAAGGCCATTTAAATGTAATAGATGGGAGAGTTACAATATACTATGAAGGTAAAGGTTATGGGGTACATTAATTGCTTGCTTCTTATTTTTCAGACTGTGTTATGACACTTTTGTGAAATGTCCATTCCTTTGTATGAATGGCAAAAATAATTATTGGTTAGCTGATGACTGTTTCTAAAGAAAGTCTAAATAAAATGCTAACTTTGTCAGACCTAGATCTAAAACCTTCATTTATTTCCCAAATTTGAGCAGCAGCAACCCTTCTTTAGAAAACTTACTGGAAAAGTAGAATTACATTTTAAAGATGAACTGAAGTCTCCTGACTTGTGCATTGCTACCTGGAAACAATTATGTTCAACTCTGTGGAGTTTGTTTCTGAGTAGACAGGTAATCGGTTATAATAGAAATTCTTGCACTGAACAAGCATGTGCTTTTTATAAGTGATTGCCCACTTCATAAAATACTAGCCTGAAGCTAATTAGAGACTGATCTTTATTAGAAGATCATTCTTTCCTACATTCATACATATGGAACAATAGCTTCAAACTGCAGTAAAGGAGATTCCACTTGAACATCAGGAAGAACTTCAAAATGAAGCTCAACGGGGACAAATGCAAGATACTCCACTTTGGCAGGAAAAACAAAATGCAAAGGTACAGAATGGGGGACAGTGCCTGGCTCGAGAGCAGTACGTGTGAAAAAGATCTTGGAGTCCTTGTGGACAACAAGTTAAACATGAGCCAGCAATGTAATGCGGCGGGGAAAAAAGCCAATGGGATTTTGGCCTGCATCAATAGGAGCATAGTGTCTAGGTCCAGGGAAGTAATGCTACCCCTCTATTCGCTTTGGTTAGACCACACCTGGAATATTGTGTCCAATTCTGGGCACCACAATTCAAGAGAGATATTGACAAGCTGGAATGTATCCAGAGGTAGGGCGACTAAAATGATCAAGGGTCTGGAGAACAAGCCCTATGAGGAGCGGCTTAAGGAGCTGGGCATGTTTAGCCTGAAGAAGAGAAGGCTGAGAGGAGATATGATAGCCATGTATAAATATGTGAGAGGAAGCCACAGGGAGGAGGGGAGCAAGCTTGTTTTCTGCTTCCTGGAGACTAGGACACGGAACAATGGCTTCAAACTACAAGAGAGGAGATTCCATCTGAACATGAGGAAGAACTTCCTGACTGTGAGAGCCGTTCAGCAGTGGAACTCTCTGCCCCGGAGTGTGGTGGAGGCTCCTTCTTTGGAAGCTTTTAAACAGAGGCTGGATGGCCATCTGTCAGGTGTGATTTGAATGCAATATTCCTGCTTCTTAGACTGGATGAGGTTTCTTCCAACTCTTTGATTCTATGATTCTATGTCCTGCTAACCTTCTAAAATTGAGCGCAAACAAATTGAATTAAATTGTTGATTCTTTCTGGGTAATATGTTGAACTGTACCACAGGAATTAAGCTGAGATACAATTTTATATTGTCAAGCAGGTGCAGAGGAACATATCAGGAAAGAGTTTGTTAACCTTTCAAATGTTCACAGGGTAGAATTCACAGACCTTGCTGACTATATTCTTAATTCCTGATTATTTATGTCTACTATTTGTTTTACAAACTGCAGTAATGATGGTTGGGGAAATCAAAGAACATCTCTTGTTTTCAACCAGCTAGTTTCTACCATACCTTGCTTTCTTCATAGCCACTGTCTTCACTCTAGCCTATGTGGATGTTTAGTGAACCAACAGGATTCAAGGCCACATCAAAAAGAAATGAATAGTGGATATCTGCCTAATGAGGTGTTATTTTTTTTCAGGGCAGAGACTTTCACATAAGGATACTGTTACCATTGGATCGTGAACTGAAAAATGCTAAGTGAGTTGAATGTATTTTTCCTAGATTTCACTGTAACCGTTCTTTTTTTAAAATCCTGTCTGGCTTTGAATGCAATGATAGCTTTTACTAGTTAATCATGACACTAGTATTGAATGGAATCAGCCAGGTTCAGCTTGGGAAAGCTTAGTACAGCGTGTGGGCTGGCAGTTGTCTTCTGATTCTACAGACCAAAGAATGACAAAATAATACATCAAACATATATGTATTTGTGTATAATTTGAGGGCTGTACTCAAATATTCAATGATTGCTGCTAAACTGAAATATTTTAGGCATGTTACCCAATGAAATGTTGATGTAGTGAATTATATATTGGGATTTAAGTGTAAAGCACCTGTCTCAATCAAAAAACAAATTCCTCATTTTGAACATACATGTGTCCAGTGAGAAGGTGGTTGCCCTACATTGTAGGCTTTCCAATATATGGTATATTATCAGCAAAATGTTGGTTTAGATAATACCTTGATAGCTTTTGTATACCTTTCCCAGTTCAGGTTAAGTAGGTTTCTGGGAATACCTGAATCTTGTGTTTCAGCTTTTTTATGTCAGCGTGAAAAGTATAATGTTATTGTCATATATCTTCAAATCTATTTCTGGAAATCCTATTACTGGATTTTCCTGTCAAGATTTCTTTAGAGTAGGTTTTCCATTGTCTTTCTCTGAGGCAAAATAAGGGTATGGCTTGCCCAAGGTCACCCCGTGGTTTTCTTTGGATGAATGAAATTTGGAGACAAATTCTTATCTCCAGAGTCCAACATCAAACCACTATAGCAGGGGTCCTCAAACTAAGGCCCAAGGGCCAGATATAGCCCTCCAAGGTCATTTACCCGGCCCTCACTCAGGGTCAGCCTAGGTCTGAAACGACTTGAAAGCACTCAACAACAGCAACAATCCCATCTCATCAAACCAAAAGCATGTCCACACTTCCTATTGAAATACTGATAATATTTGTTAAAATTGTTCTTCATTTTAATTATTGTATTGCATTTAAGTGTTTTTTGCACTACAAGATACGATATGTGCAGTGTGCATAGGAATTCATTCATGTGTTTTTCAAATTATAATCCGGCCCTCCAACAGTTTGGGGAACTGTGACCTGGCCCTCGGTTTGAAAAGTTTGTGGACCCCTGCACTATAGCATGCTGACTTGGAAGTAATATATGCTTGAATTTAATGTGGATGGCACTGGAAGCCTGGGTTGATGCCATTTGTTCAGGTATGCTCTTTCCACAGTCTGTGGTGAAGGAGAACATGGCTATTAACCTGCTACTCTTGAGGGCATCCTAGTGGATTGTTTTGTTTGGGAGCACAGAATGATCAAAGTATACAAGTATCTTTAAAGTCCATGTAATGTAGTAGTTTGAGCACTGGACCTGAGTTTGAAACCTGCTCAACCATGGAAACTCACCAGGTGATTTTGGGAAGTCACACTATTCAGCTTCACAAAAAGCAGAGCCAAACCCCTCTGAACAAAGTTTGCCAAAAAAAAAGTGATGGTGTAGTGTGTGGTGGGGCATTAAATTAGTGATTAAAGTGTATTGGCAATATTCCTTGTGAAAGCAAGTTAAAACATTTAATTTGTTCTTGTCTGTGGTGGCAAAAACCCTGCTGCAAAAAATTTTTTTGAACAAAGGTGGACATATAACATAGCCTTCCTGACTGTAAACTCCTGAATTCTAACAGTATTCCTTTCTCTGAACTTTAACATTAGACATGACATTTGTGCAACCAAAAATGCAATAGCCAGTTGGACTTCTAAAATGCATTTTGTTTTTTTTGTTATAAATTGTGCATTAACCTGAAATTTGTATGCTTTCTAAATATATTATATAAACATATCAGATAATCTCAGAAAAATTAGTTCATTTATGGTAATTGTATTTCCCCCCCAAAACAATATAGAAAGATGACTTGGTGTCAGCATCAGATGCAAAAGTGCATAGTCAGTAAATAACTTTTGTGAAGTATACAGTGAATAAAAGTTAACATGCAGGAAATTTAAACTTCTTATGCCAATAACACTACAGCTATGTGTTCACTATATTTTTTCTCTTCTGAAAAGTTGTATCTTTTTATTGGAATGTTTAGTTGACCATTTTACTTGATATTTATTCTAGGATCCAATGTAGCTGGCATTTGAAGCAGTTGCTCAATGGATATCAACACATTCTAAAGCAGGTACGCTTATGAATTGTTGAATTGGAATTTTTGAATAAGAACAACTTAAATTGTTATAATTTTGGGGAATTGAAATAAGAGTATGTAAGGAAGCGTAATCCCACCTAAATGGGATTACCAAAATTACGTAAATATGTATGTTAATCCACCTAATTTCAGCATAAATTATAAGGAAGTCCCAAAACTGCTTGATTACACCGCCACCATTATATATATAGAGACGTTGGAATTGAAGTCTCTGTTTATCCCTATCTGCGTTGTGAGGCAACTTTGGTAGAGTGGATTGCACCAAATGTAAAATCAATGGAGGAGGCAGATTTATAACACAGAGAGAACAAGTTTATTGTTAACAGAGCGTAATTGTTGCAATACTAAGATGTTGAACTTGGCACAAGCTTGATGGTTACAATATGGCTTGGTAGAGATACATTCAGGCTTCTGATGTTACCATACTTTAAACTCCTTCTTCAGTGAAGTACTTTATTATTTCAGTGTTCCCTGTTGTGAATATTCACTCTGTTTGTCCTATACCGGATCAAACCACCGATCTCCAGTCTTTCACTACTGGGATCCCTAAAACCCCCTTTGTTAGATTCTTTTTAACACAAGCAATCTAACAAGGTTTCAACTTCAGCTCCCTTGCTGAAGAAATATTCACAAATGCTAAGAACTAACTGAATGTATACTGCTTCACCACACAGAGCCCTAACTGACTCCGCTCCTCTTCTCAGGGTCTCATCCTCCTGACTGACTATTAACTGTTACTTTCAAACCTTTTTCTCCTTAAGCTCCGCCCACCTTCTCTTCTGCCTTGTCACCATGGCAACCTATCTCTCACAGCTAGGCCATGGCCACGCATGTAAAACATAAATACAGTTTAAACACAGTACAATAAACCCTTTATAATAAACACTTCTCTACACCTTCCCCCCCAGAAAAAGTATTTTTGAACCATTCTCAATCCTAGAATGGCAAAAATAATTCCACATATTAGTCAACAATAAATACATACACCAATTCTGAAAGGAAAACATAGTATGGTTAAGTACATTTTAATTACACATATATACAAACCTTTAACCTATGGAATCCTAGATAAGGCGTCCGCAACTATATTTCGTTTACCTGAAACATGTTTCATTTCAAATATAAAATCTTGTAAACACAAACTCCATCTTAACAATTTGTTATTTGTACCTTTTACATTATCCAGCCACCGTAATGGAGCATGGTCTGTTTGTAAGGTGAACTTCCTACCCCATAAATACGGTTTTAGTTTCTTAACGGACCCTGTAGGGTGGAGATACTATGGGAGTTGCATCACCGGTGTTTATTCGATGCTGGACTCCTTGGACCTTTCCTGGCAAATCTGAAAATATGTCTCTATATTTACTTAAAACTTCCACAACCTCCCTACGCTGTGGTTGGGACAATTCCATGTTCATCTCTACCCGATCCAAATTTTTGTACTGCTCACGATCACCCTCCCAAAAAGAAAAGGGACCGGATTCCTCTTCCGAAACAACAAAACATACATTCGCAGACCTTACAACATAAGGCTTTAACATGTTTACATGGACTCTTCTTTCTACATTGGAATGTTCATCAAAAATGTCATAGTTTATCTGGCTGTGCTTTCTGATTATCTTCCAGGGTCCAGCCCAATCCAATTGAAGTTTGTTGGTTTTGCTGGGAGACAAAAACAAAACTTCATCTCCGATGTTAAAAATCTTTGGTTTAGCAGTAGAGTCATAATAGTCTTTTTGTCTCTGCTGAGCCGCAAGCAAATGTTCTTGAGCAATGTCTCTAGCTAGCTGCATTGTTGCTTGAAGATCCTTTAAATACTCCGTCACTGGAACTGGATCTGTCGCCGGACTTTCTTCCCAATATTCTCTTATCAAGTCTAACGGACCACGAGCTTTCCTTCCATATAACAATTCAAATGGACTGTAGCCAGTGCTGTCATGAGGGACGGTCCTGTAGGCGAATAACAATTGTTGCAATTTGACATCCCAGTCGTATGGTTTCTCTTGACTATAAGACTTTATCATTTTGACTAAAGTCTTGTTCATATTTTCAACCAGTCCATTTGTCTGTGGATGATATGCCGTTGAAGTCAGGTGTCTAATTCCACATAACTCAAGCAATTTCGACATAAGCCTGGAAGTAAACTGGGTTCCCAAATCCGTAACCAATTCTCTAGGATAACCAGTTCTTCCCCAAATAGATAACAGGGCATTTGCAATTGTTGTTGTTTCGATGTTAGTCAGAGCTACAGCTTCTGGGTATCTTATGGCGTAGTCAATCATGGTTAAGATGTATCGGTAACCACGTCTACTTGGTTTACAAAGAGGACCCACTATATCAATGCCTACTCTGTAAAATGGTTCTCCAATTATTGGCATAGGAATCATATGAGCTTTAACTTTATCCCTTCCAGTACTCAATCTCTGGCAGATGTCACAAGATTGGCAAAATTCTTTGATCCTCTGGAACATTCCAGGCCAATAAAAATTCTTAGTGATCCTCCTCGTGGTTTTCCTCACACCCAAATGTCCACCTTGAGGGTTCTCATGTGCCACCCTCATCAGCTGCTCTCTAAAACCTTGAGGTACTACAATTTGACTATATGCCACTGATCCTTCTGTCGAGTTTACCCCTCTGGTTTCTCTATATAAGACACCATTTTTCAGCACAAACTCGGAGGGCTGTTCTCTCGCCGATACTGTGGGGTTTTGAGCCAAAGCAAACAGAGGTTTAAGAGAATCATCGGCTCCTTGTTCCTGCCGAATCTCTTCAACTCCTCCTGTCTTCTTAACAAGTTCAGCAACTGTAGCACTGGATTCCGGACTCTCATCCTCATCTTGTTGTATGGCAAAACACAGGGCTTTTTTTCCAGGGCTCTCGTTGTTACATTCTTTCTCCTCACACACCATCCCCCAGCTCTCAATCTTTTCAGCCAAATCATTTCCAATTAAACAATCGTATGGTATGTCAGGACTAACTGCAAAGTCCCACATACCCTTCCATCCTTCATATTCTATTGGCAAAGTCACCACTGCTGTTGGTATCGCAGGTCCTAAACCTTTTAATTTTATTTCAGAGGTTGGCTGCTGAAATTTCTGAGGGATTATTTCGGGATGCACTACACATATTTCGGAACCTGTGTCTCTGAGTCCTTTCCTGTCTTTGTTATCAATACTGATGGTTTCTAAGTAGTCCTTAAATGGGCTGCCTGACAAGATGAACAAACATTGTTTCTCTTGAGGCTCTGAGCCTGAACTCTTCTTTGAAACAGTATCTAGTTCTGCCTGTGGTGTTTCCTTCATTTTATTCACAAAAAGGGTTGTTTTCTCTTTCCTTAACAGGGGACATTGATACTTTATATGATCCAATTTTCCACATTGAAAGCACCGTCTTTTTACCTCAGGAGCAGTTTGTCTTGTTACACTCTGCCCCCTATAGATGGTGTTTTCTAAGTCAGACCCCTTTTCTGGCTGTAGGCGCGTTTGTTGTGGATAAAATGGCTGCCTGTTTGTTCTTTTGTCACCTGGCAGATCTTCTCTCTTAAATCCTTCTTTTAAGGTTGTTATTTGATCTGCCATACCCGCTGCCTCTACAATTGTGGATGGCTTGCGATCCTGAATCACCCAACGAATATCATAAGGCACTAGTTGGAAAAACTGCTCCAGCTTCAAAAGTTCCCTCAGCTGTTGATAATCTTCCACCTCAGATGTCCTTATCCAACTATCGAACAGTTGAGACAATCTTGAGGCCACCTGAGCAAAACTTTGAGTTTTATCTTTCTTTAATGTCCTGAACTTAAATCTATAATATTCAGGAGTCAATCTAAATTCTTGTTGAATCTGTTTCTTAAACAGATCATAGTCTCCATAAGAATCCTCAGACATCTGTCCATAAATCTGCAAAAGTTTCCCACTTATCTGAGGCCTTAGGTATGTCATCCATTTTTCCTTAGCCACCCCAAAATCTCGACAACATCTCTCAAAAGATATTAGGAATTTCTCTGGGTCATCGTCTTTGGTAAATTTTGGGAATTTCTTCGTCAAATCTGGGGTATCTCCTCCAGATCTCCCTTCCTGGATATCCCTGGATGTTTGAGACAAAGCCAATCTTTGTTTCTCCAGCTCAAACTCCATTCTCTTCAATTCTAACTCCTGTTCCAATTCTCTCACTCTCTGTCTTTCTTCAAACTCTCTCTGTTTTGCCTCTTTCTCTAGTTCTCTCTCTCTTTCTTCATCTCCAATCGTTTCATCTCTAGTTTATACTTATAAGCCATTTCTGAGAAAGGCATCGGCTCGGTCTCTGTCTCAGAGCTCGAACTTTCCTCTTGGTCTCCCTCTCTTTCCTCAGCCAGCTTTCTCTGTCGCCTGGTAGCCATCTTTCAGCAACTTTTACCTCACAACTTATTTCAAAATTAACTTAAAGCACTCGATCAGTTGTTACACGAATCCCGTCGTCTGCCACCAAAAATGTAAGGAAGCGTAATCCCACCTAAATGGGATTACCAAAATTACGTAAATATGTATGTTAATCCACCTAATTTCAGCATAAATTATAAGGAAGTCCCAAAACTGCTTGATTACACCGCCACCATTATATATATAGAGACGTTGGAATTGAAGTCTCTGTTTATCCCTATCTGCGTTGTGAGGCAACTTTGGTAGAGTGGATTGCACCAAATGTAAAATCAATGGAGGAGGCAGATTTATAACACAGAGAGAACAAGTTTATTGTTAACAGAGCGTAATTGTTGCAATACTAAGATGTTGAACTTGGCACAAGCTTGATGGTTACAATATGGCTTGGTAGAGATACATTCAGGCTTCTGATGTTACCATCCTTTAAACTCCTTCTTCAGTGAAGTACTTTATTATTTCAGTGTTCCCTGTTGTGAATATTCACTCTGTTTGTCCTATACCGGATCAAACCACCGATCTCCAGTTTTTCACTACTGGGATCCCTAAAACCCCCTTTGTTAGATTCTTTTTAACACAAGCAATCTAACAAGGTTTCACCTTCAGCTCCCTTGCTGAAGAAATATTCACAAATGCTAAGAACTAACTGAATTTATACTGCTTCAACACACAGAGCCCTAACTGACTCCGCTCCTCTTCTCAGGGTCTCATCCTCCTGACTGACTATTAACTGTTACTTTCAACCCTTTTTCTCCTTAAGCTCCGCCCACCTTCTCTTCTGCCTTGTCACCATGGCAACCTATCTCTCACAGCTAGGCCATGGCCACGCATGTAAAACATAAATACAGTTTAAACACAGTACAATAAACCCTTTATAATAAACACTTCTCTACAGAGTATTTCATAGTAATTCATGAATTTTATGTTGAAGAGTTTTGTTGATTTTTATCTAGGAATACCCCAAAGTAAATGGACTATGAGCTCTGTCTTACCTTGTGAGGGAACAATCAGACTGTAAATATTTATGTGAAAGGAAGAGTTGTTAGGAAAGAAACAGACCAAGGGTCTAGATCAGTTACCCTACAATTTATATCTGGCTAAGAAAAATGGGGAGAGATTGAAAGAAACTATACTGGTATGGGAGCCATACCTGGTGTTACAGAACATTGGACTATTACTCTGAAGTACAGGGTTTGGATCCCCGCTTGGCCATGGAAGCTCGTTGGGTGCATGCTACACTATCTCAGGCCCCTTTTACACTGCCATATAAAATCCAGATTATCTGATTTGAACTGGGTTATATGAGTCTATACTGCCGAAACAGATAATCTGGATTTTATATAGCAGTTTGAAGGGGCCTTTGAACTGGATTAAATGGGAGTGTAGACTCATATAATTCAATTCTCAAAGCAGATAATATGGATTATCTGATTTGATAATCTGGATTGTATGGCAGTGTAGAAGGGGCTAGATGAGAACAAGGGAACTGAGCAGACACGAAAAGACTTTGTAAAATGGGAGTTTCTTTGTCAGAGGCTTTGTTAAATGTGGTGTTTCTGTTCCCTTCTTTCAGAGAGTAATGGTAGCTGTGACATGAATTTATTTGTTATCTGCTTTCCTCAGATCCTTGCTATAGTGCATGATTCCTGCAGTCACGCATGGGTCGTCAAGGACCATCTATACTGTATTTTAATTTGCCAGTTTATGTAATTATTTGTGGATTTCATTAACATGTTCTTTCTAGGAATCTCTGGATCCTCCAGGATAACTCTATGGTCAATTTTTGATGGAAGCTGATCCTAGAGTTGCCCTGGAGAACCTAGACGATTATTTTCGCAAGTAAAATATTGGTATTTTAAAAAATTGGTTTGTGGTTTTTCCATTTTTACAGGGGTCCCCCATTCATAAACCCTGTAAAAGTGGAGGGCTTACTATAGTTGTAAAGACAACTTTCATCTACTGTGAGAAAAAAATGATTCAGCATGTTTGCACAATACAGTGTTTAATGACAACAAATCACAAGAAACCTCATTGAATAATTAATGTTTTTCAGAGATTGCAGCATTCCTTGGATCTTGTCAGCTTCATGGTGGAGTTGAAGACTGTTTTGGTGAGTGTGTTTGTGTATCCAGCTTTTTGGCACCATCCTCACAATGTTGATACTACTAAAAAAATCTTATCTAGAAATGTACAGTAGTTAATTGCTCCTGAGATGTTAAAATTACACCCAAGCTGCGAACTCATCGCTGAGCCTGGAACCCCAGGTTTCGGCGGTGACCAGGGGAGCATTTGCACAGCTAAAGCTTGTGCGCCAGCTGCGCCCGTACCTTGGGAAGTCTGACTTGGCCACGGTAGTCCACGCTCTGGTTACATCCCGTTTAGACTACTGCAACGCTCTCTACGTGGGGTTGCCTTTGAAGACAGCTCGGAAGCTCCAACTAGTCCAACGCTCGGCAGCCATGATTTTAACAGGAGCGGAGCGCAGGGAGCATACAACCCCCCTGTTGCGCCAACTCCACTGGCTACCGATCTGCTACTGGGCTGAATTCAAAGTGCTGGCGTTGGCCTTTAAAGCCCTAAACGGTTCCGGCCCAAGCTACCTATCTGACCGCATCTCTGCCTATGAACCCACCAGGAGTTTGAGATCTTCCGGGGAGACCCTGCTCTCGATCCCGCCTGCTTCTCAAGCTCGGCTGGCGGGGACGAGAGATAGGGCCTTCTCGGTGGTGGCTCCTCGGCTGTGGAACGCCCTTCCTACGGACATTAGACTAGCACCATCTCTAATGGTATTCCGCAAAAAGGTGAAGACCTGGATGTTTGTGCAGGCGTTTGAGTAATTTAGTACAATCTGGTAATGGAACATAGGAATGGAACAAGGGACGACGAATCTGGACTACGCTTGGATGATGAGAAGATTGGGTACGGTTGTTTTTTGTAATAATTGTGCATTGTAATTGCTTATTGGTAATTTATGGATAATGTGTTAAGTCAATTGTTATATGTTGTATGGAACCACTGCTGTTTCTACTGTTTGTACTGTTAGTGAACCGCTGTGAGTCGCCTTCGGGCTTGAGATACAGCGGTATATAAGCAAAGTAAATAAATAAATAAAATTACAGCTATTTTTTCCTGGTGCTTCAGTAACAACATTCTATTGCTGAGAAAAAAATATCTTTTTTTAAGTCCTTCTCCCATTGCAAATGACTCAAGCTGTTGGTGCTTGAAGGCCCTTTGCAGAGCTTATGTATGCTGATGCTTCTGAGGAGTGGTGTCATTCTGTTCACATCTGCATTATTTTATTGCACCTCATAATTATTTGCATGTGGTCCTCAAATAAGAAAATGAAAGCTTCCAGGAAGGATTTCGAACTCCTCATTTTCCTGACTCTGTCTTCGTTTTAATTACTGTTTAAGGGTATGCCCTCCCATTCCTGCCCTCTGCAGCAAGCCATCTGGCTATTGATTTCAATACAATCTATGTGGACAGGGTGCTGTTTGCAGTACAGTGTAACATAAAGAATAGTGGTGGCTCGAATGCCTGATTCTAAGTAAACACTTAGAAGCTGAATTTGAAAATAAAGTTGGATCCTGTCATAGCATTTTTATCATATTACCCTTGATTGTAAAGAATAGTTCACATTTTTTTCATCTTCTGAAGACAGACACTGACAAACTCTTCTTGAACGATATATAAAGAGGAAACATTTAAAGGAGGAACTGTGCCAATGGTTGTGAAATTTCTAATTTTGTCTTCCTATTAAGACCATTAATTGTCTTAAAATGTGTTTTTAATCAGAGTGTTTCGATATTTTTATTTTAAAAACTTATTCCACATTTTTCTTGATCTGTTCGGAGTCTCTTTGGAGCTTGTAGATTCATAGAATCATAGAATTGGAAGAGACCTCATGGGCCATCTAGTCCAACTCCCTGCCAAGAAGCAGGAAAATTGCACTCACAGCACCTCCAACAGGAGGCAGCAAGCAGAACCACAAAGCAGCTAGCATAGAACAGTGTAAAGCAGTTAGTCAAACCCTAATCTGTTGCCTGCTCCTCGCAGCCTTACTGTATGTGGCAGAAAGTGGCACATGATAGCTTTTCTCAATGCTGGGTTGTAGTTTTTTTGGGCTGTGTGGCCATGTTGTAGTAGCATTCTCTTCTGACATTTCACCTGCATCTATGGCAGGCATCCTCAGAGGTTGTGAGGTCTGTTGGAAACTAGGAAAATTGGGCTTATATATCTGTGGAAAGTCCAGGGTGGGAGAAAGAACTCTTGCCTGTTGGAGCTAGGTGTGAAAGTTTCAATTGGCCACCTTGATTAGCATTTGATGGCCTGACAGTTTTTCGGTGTGGTTTGTTCCTGCCTGGAGGAATCCTTTGTTGAGAGGTGATTAGGTGTTCCTAATTGTTTCTTGTGTGGAGTTCCCCTGTGTTTGAGTTTTGTTCTTTACTGTTTTCAGTGCTTTTTGGAACTATAGACTTCCACTAAAATTCAGTAGGTGTTTTGCAAGAGATCATGTTGGAAACAATGACTTTTTAAAAGCTGTAGATACAATTAGTTTTATGCAAACGATCCCTGAGACCTCAGTATTTATCAAGGGTTCCTCCAGGGTAAGTGTAGGAATAAGTGCAGCATTAATTAGGCAATGTGTGGCCTTCAGTATGTTGGGAAGACATTGAGTTAATCTGATAAAATAATTGTGACTGGTTTATTTTTCCAATTGAACTTCTGTATCAGCATAAGTATGTACTGATAGATATGTTTATTCTGAAGTTCAGTTGGAAAAACAAACAAATATGTATGAATAGATATTATAAATAGTAGTAGGTGGATTGGGGCCCCTTATGAATCTAATGTATCATTCTAATTAGTTTATCTGCTTATTGCTAACAAATATATACTGTAAGATAATATGTGTTTTTGACAGGAATTGGCTTTGAAGAATACTCGGGGACTGCACACAACACCACCTCCACAGTATTATTCTGCCCTCATTGGAGACATAGAAACATTAGGATGGGATAAGTATGTCATGTTTATTAGTAGATGACATTTGTTGGATTTAACATGCCTTTTTCTTAATTACTTGCATTTTCTGTGTTTCCTGGTCATTTGGATAGTCTAATGGTTTTGCATTTTAACTTCTGTAAGCACTTATGTATATGTAAAAAATGACCCAAAAACTGGGATGACTTATCCATTGGTCAATATGAGTACTGTATCTCAACTCTTATCAGAAAAGGAATAACCCCCTTCTGTGAGTACAGTTGAAAAAAATCTATTCTGCAAGAACCTAAAAAAAGCACTGATCTCCTCCTCTACTCACCCTGCCACGGTGTAACTTCTGGCCTTTTTGAATGCCCAGGTGGAAAAATAACGGTGGAGGCCAGTGGTGTCTGGCCCTCTGAGACTGCATTAGTGCTTTCCCCTCTTTGAGGAATGACCCTCTTGTTATGAACGGTTCACATCAAAATCCATAATTTTGGCCGCAAACCTGCTCTCGCCTTATACATGAGGTGGACTTGTGTATGAGTAGATACAATAGTGTTTGTTTTATAATTGTTCTTAATCAAACTTCTAGCACATAAAAATCATACCCAAGAGTAAAATTTGTTATTGCAAACAGAGTTTTTCTTAATAGTATGCACATTCAGAATTCAGATTAGTTGGAGTGTGCAAAATACCAACCATTTTGGGTTCATGATTTTTTGTCAATTGATGCCTCATTAAACTTAGCCTCCTAGCAAAGTTGGGCTTGTCCTTGACTCCATTCCTCCCCACTGCCTCAAATTCCTGCTAATAGCACCATTAAAAGAGGATAAGAACATTATTCTTTCTGCCCATTCTCTTTCTTGATTGTTATTGCAATTGAGTAGAAAGGAGATCAACCAAAATAGAACAATGCCTTACATATTCAGAAGCACTCAGTTAGTAGGTGAGTTATGCTGTGATGGGGCTGTAACACTGTGTATTTTCAGTTGTCCCCTTCGGCTGAGATGGAGTTCTGTTATAACGGTAAAACTAGGCTGCGGATAGCAGAAGTGTGTGCCATGGTTAGCTGTTACAGATATCGCATTTAGGACTTTTCGTTTAAAATAGAATTCTCTACTACTGATATCAGGTAGTAATTCTCAAGACAATATTGTGTTGTGGGCAGTGGAAAGGTTGCTGTGTTGCAGTGATTGCTTTCTCTATATGAAGTTTTTATTCTTGTAGAAATGTTGTGGACACTATCACGTTTTGGTGACACACTTGAAAAGTTTCTGTTGCAGGAACTCTTTCTATAAGTTGTATCATTGCAAGGGTTAGCAGCCACCTCTCCACAAAAGTCGACATTGATGCTAAAATACAACACCATATGAATTCTGCAATTGCAGCTTTTTTAAAGAATGAAGGAGAGAGTGTTTCAGAATCAGGACATTCATAAAGATACCAAGATGCTTATTTATAAAGCTATTGTCCTTCCAACTCTATTGTACACCTGCAAAACATCGACCGTCTACAAATGTCACTCTCAACTTCTGAAATGATTCCATCAGCTTTGCCTTTGAAAAATTCTGCAAATTTCTTGGGAAGACAGGCGGACAAATGCCATTGTTCTGGAAGAAGCAAAGACCACTAGCATTGAAGCCAAGATTCTCCGCCATCAACTTCTCTGGACTGGCCACGTTGTCCAAATGTCTGATCACCATCTCCCGAATAATAATAATAATAACAATAATAACAATAATAATAATAATCTTTATTTATACCTCGCCACCATCTCCCCAATGGGGACTCGGAGCGGCTTACATGAGGCCAAGCCCAAACAACAAAATTACAATAAAATAAGACTGAAAACGCAAACCGATAATGCAAACAAAATACAAGAGCATAATAACATAAAAACGTGAATAAATAACGATATAAAATTACAATAACACAATCACAATGACAGTGGGCGGGCTACATGTAATGAAGCATTTACTTTACTCTCAGCTCAGAAATAGAAAACAATGTCAATGGACAGCAAAAGAGATGTAAAGATGGTCTTAAAGCTAACCTAAAAAAGTGGAATAAACACAGAGAACTGGGAATCCCTGACCCTTGAGCGTTGTAAGAGGGAGTCAGCTGTTACCAACAGTGCTATGGATTTTGAAGAGGCATGAATAGAGGTCAAAATGGAGAAACGTGCCAAGAGGAAGACGCATTAAGCAAACCCTTTTTAGGACTGCCTTTCATCTGAAAATCATATGTCCTCACTACGAAAGACCATGCGGATCCAGAATAGGTCTCTAGAGTCACTTTCGGACCCACTACCAGGATGAGTCTGCATGGTCTTCACTTGGAAGATAATTATACTTAGCCACAAGTGATAGCCAGTGATGACGAGGAATTTTGTAGAAGACTTGCTTATTTGTCCAGGCCACAAAGAGTGCAGAACATTTTTAATAATGTTTATACTGGCCATAGGTACCCTGGCCTGCAGAGAAGCTTGAAGATGAACAATATACACACATATATCCCATAAATTAATTGTCAAGTGGAGCATTAACAGTAGCTTTGTAAATGTACCAGTAGTTTAATTCAACCTTTGCTTATATCTCATTCTTTCTCCATTATCTCATTTATGGTGGAACTGTTGTATGCATATTTTGTTGGGTGACTAAATCTGAGATTCAAATCTCACTATTTCTGGAGATCCGCTTCTACTATTCATAACAGTGGTTTTCCAAAGATTTTAGTATACAGCCATGTGCTCAGTTTTCTCCAGTGTACAGACACGTACTAAATATTCTTCAGTGTCTATATTTATAGTGAAAAGTTTGTTGAAGAACTGGGCAGAAATCATTTTACTTTAAGAAACTGAAGAAATGGATCAAATTGTTGGCAGGAAGTTTAATGTCTACATAAGTAGAAGCTGACAGGAACATGCTGTGTGTGCCAAAGGTTCCAGTGATGGAAAACTGAAACATAGTGCTCACTGACCACAGCGTGAGCCCTGACACATAATGTAAATAACCCAGAGATATATGACTGCATTAAGCAGCTGGCTGGTGTATTAACAGCGGTAAATCTGCTGCAGCAGAAATGGCTGTCATACATATGATTTCTGATTAATATATTTGTAACAGATTAATATGAGTAAGTTACAAATGGAATTACAACAGGACTTATTTCCTTTCTTCTTCCAGAGTCATGTTTGTGGATCCTGGTTTTAATACCTTAAAGTTAAAAGCAGAAGATTCATGTGGTCGGGATCATCTCATCACTTTGAAATTAAATCCAAAGGTGAATGTTTTTAGGATGCTGGGGAAAGGAAACATACATTTTCATTACTTTTATATCTCAGGTATGATTTGCCTAGACATAGAGCCGCAGAATAATAAGGTTTGTATATGTAAAACAAATTTACTAAAGACTCGTTGCCTTTTCTTTCTTAAATGTATGCAGAATTGTTCAAACCTCTAGGAATCCTTCACTGGGGAAAAAACCCCAACTAGCAAGTGTTCATTATCCTAGAGGCTTCTGGCTTGGTGTGGGGATTAAGTATCTTCATTTCAATTAATGATTAGTCAGTTTTGAACGCTTTTATCTGAGGAATCAGTCATGGTCTAGATTAGATGGCTTCCCAGTTGGATTTTATCCCCCTCCCTTTCCCAGAAATGGCCTGTCGTTGAACAAGAATAAAAATCCTAGAAATGGGTTAACTAATTTGTACACAGTCCAGATTCTCCAAATTTTCAATGAGGAGCAGGTTCTAAAGAAGTATTTCACAAAAGCCTAGGGACTTTGTGTCTGTTCATATATACAGTCTTAGAATTTAAACTTAGAGTTTACTAAGAGTTAGATTCTAAAACTTTGATTCTATATGTTAAAGCTATTGTGGGCAAAGTTTGTCCCTCAGGACGTACCAGAGGTCAATCTCTTGTGGTAACTTCTAGCCAATTCCTGCTTTAAAATGCTTCTTCTGGGACTGAAAATGGCCAGGGTCCCCTAAAAGAATAATAAAAAGAAGAAGCTGCGTACAGTTTCTAGCGCTGATTTTAGGGTGTGTTCCCTCTATGCTTTTACATTTGCTTGCCCCTGTGTTAAGATATTTATTTATTTACTATATTTATATACCGCCTTTCTCACCCCTGGGGAGACTAAACATAATTTATAACATAACAATGGCAAAAATCAATGGCAATATACATGTTAAAAGAAAAATTATAATTACTAAACACTATCATATAACTATAAGTTAAAATCGTTAAACCATTAAACATGAGACATAACATTTAGACATTCAAACAAAGCATAAAATCTTCTTAAAATAAATATTAAAATCACATGATCCAAAAATATGCATTACATATAGTGTTTCCATTAATACAAATTCTTTCGGGAGCCAAGCTGTTCCAAATTTTGCTGCTGCTCTATTTTAAAAAAATAGATAATACTGTTTTATAGAAAGTGAGTATGTTTCTGGAAACGGAAGTAAGTATTTGTCTTTTATTGTGCAGTGACCGTCTTTTCCAAGTTTCTGGTAGTAACTAGTGGTCATCAATCAAATCTGTTTCACAAGATTATAGTGATGAAAGGATCAATTGTGTTTGTCCTTTTTAAAAATGTGTCTGGCATTTAAACTTGCCATGGGAGAAAGTTAATATATAAAACGTGTGCTTACTGACACGGGGATTTGATTTATAGTAATATATGTAATAAATACACTGAACTGAAATGCTCATTCATATGTTATAGTTAATTTAAAGAAGTCGAACCCATAGGTTTATGTGCATGAACCAGCAAAGGTTAAATACATTTCACTTACATTGATTTCCATGGGAGATATATACTGTATACACATATTTTAACTATCTCACTAAAATCAGTATGACTTATAGGACTTTTAAAAGTGCTTAACTTTGGCTGAATCCTGTGTTGCATTATTCAAAATAAGGCAGTTGTTTTCAAAGTGCAGGTTATAACATACAAAGTCCTAAACAGTTTAGGCTCTGTCTATCTTCGAGATCGCCTCTGCCACTATGAACCAGTGCAGGCTCTAAGATCTGCTGGGGAGGCTTTCTTCTCAATCCCATCTCCATAACAAGCATGGTTAGTGGGACGAGGGAGAGGGCCTTCTTGGTGGTGGCCCACCGAATTTGGAACACCTTCCTCCGGGAGATTAGGAAAGCCTCCACACTGTCCTCCTTTCGTAGGGAGCTGAAAATCTGGATGTTCCAGCAAGCTTTCGAGAATGACCAGTCCCTAGGTTACAAGTTAATACTTGGTTCTGCACTTCATTCACTTCCCTGACCCTATGACACATTGTTTGCACTATCCCTCGCCCAGCATTTTTATAGTTGATCACATTTATTTTAGTACTCCTGGCCATTGGTATTGTTGAACTTTGCCTGATGGAGCTCCGATGTAATAGGTGTATATGTGTATACACCTATTACATACACACACACACACACACACATATATATATATATATATATATATATAATTTTTAGTAAATTTTATCAGGGTTTTTGTAGTTAATGATGTCTTTATTTTTTTTGCTATTTTGTTAGGTTGTTCTTTATTGTCTAATGTGTTTTGTCTTGATGTAAATTGTTTGTATGGTTTCCTTTTTGGCATTGAGTGTTTGTCATATTCATTGGAAACCGCCCTGAGTCCCTTCGGGGAGCTAGGACAGTCTATAAATATTTTTTATTAGTTGTTATTCGTTGTTTTGTTTTTGAAGAGTTGTTCTATAAATCTTATGGATCAATCCTATATTCTATTGATTTTATTCTAATGTATTAAAAGCTGAAAGGATGCCAGTCCAAACTTTGTTCTCTACAGGGCCAAGAAATTGCAGAAACCTGGATGATTTAATTAAAGAAAAGTTAATTTGAAAAATACGTAGAAAAATATGATCCTTGTCTTCCATTCTGCGTTTTAGCTGATTTTATTTAACCACTTCCGCTCCTTTCATTTTGTAACTTATTCAAAAGTTATTGGAATAACAGACTGAAATGAAGATGATAAAAAGAGAAAGCATAAGAGCTTTTGCAAGCAATAAAAGTTTCCTTTAAAAATGAAAAGTACAGCAGGGAACATAAACCATGGTAGATATAATAAAATATAAGTGTAAATTTGAATATCAAGTAGCCAGAGAAATAAAAATAAATGTAAGTGTATCATAGGTGAGGAACAGTATGAGAATCAGTGAGAGATTACCAGAAGCGGATATAAAGTTATAGAGAAGCTAAACTTCATTACCATAAAAGCCAATTGGATGTGGTCTACTACTGAATTAAGTTTAGCAGGGACCATAGCATTAGAAAACAAAGTAGAAGGATAATACATTCAAATTAGTCAGTGGCAAATATCCAGGATTAATGTTGGGTGGATTCATTTTGGAAGGTTTAAATTGTATTTGTATTTAACCTCACTTCTTCTTAACGTCTCAAATGTCAGTCTTTTGCCTTGTAATCATGAGTTTTATTAGGGTAGATTAGGGGAAAGGTAGTGGTCTTTTCATCAGTGTTCCTATTTTATGATCAGTCAAACTTAGGTTTCTATGTTATGTTTAAGTTCCATTTATATCATTTATGTATTCATAGAGTGAGTATAGTATCTGCCTTTTGCTTGTTTGTTCCATAGCCCTGAAACATTCTCATGATGAGTGGAAAGCTGAACTGTCTTCCTTCTCCCTAAAGTATAAAATGTGTGTAATAGTAGGAGAAATAGTACTGTTAATAGATGTTGTAAAGTTGGTTGCATGATTAGAATCAATGGACAAAAAAAATCACCTTTGACAAATTTTTTCCTGTTCAGAAAGAAACCTGTTAAATAATAATAAATAAATAATAAAAACATTATTTCTATCCCTCTCAATCTCCCCGAGAGGACTCAGGGTGGTTTCCAACAGTGTAACAAACTGGCAAACATTCAATGCCAAACAAACAAGTACTAAATGAATCAAATACAATACGACAACTTAAGACTATATAAAACAGACCAAAGCATAACAAAAATTAGACATAAAAATTATAACATATCAGCATGTTTAATCACATAATAAAACATAAGTTCTGCTAAAAAGCATTAAAATATGAGATGGTTTGTATCTTCCAACAAGCTGGGGTGAATTTCCAGTATCTAGGTGAGGGTCTGTTTGGAATTTTGCTAATCCTTCTCTCCATAAGCCAAGGAGCACAACTAAGTCGTAACCTGCTGTTGCATGCCAGGCCTATTTGGTTACCAACAGAGTGTTATCTAGTGTGATATATAAGATATAGCATATAGGATACTAGATATAATGCAGAAAGCTTGATATATTAAAAGCCAAAGTCAAAGCAAACATTACTACAATATGAACGAGGTAAGAAATGAATACATTTCTAACAACACAAATGTGAGCAGATGTGACTGATAATAAACTCTTACAAAAAACTTGCTAATTATCCCATATAAATAGCCTGAGATTCTAATATTTAAGAATACTTGAGTGTTAACTCTGCCTGTCTAGTTTTAGCCACTGTCATGAATTGGGAACTCAGATGGCTAGAATAAGATACTAGAATTCAAGATAGAATCCAGATTTCCTGAGAAATGGCAAGGACCTTCAGTGTAAAGTGATATCAGGGCTGCTGACTGTTTCAACATGACCCTGTATATAAAGTATGGTATGAAGTCCAAAAAGAAGTTGTTTTTACAGTCAGCTCATTGTGTCATCTATAGAATGGTAAAGTAAAGGTAAAGGTTTCCCCTTGACATTAAGTCTAGTCATGTCTGACTCTAGGGATTGGTGCTCATCTCAGTTTCTAAGCTGAAGAGCTGGTGTTGTCCATAGACGCCTCCAAGTTCATCTGACTGGCATGACTGTATGGAGCACCATTACACTTCATCTACTCAGATTTACATGTTTTCGAACTGCTAGGTTGGCAGAAGCTGAGCCTAACGGAGCCCACTTCACTCCCCAAATTCGAACTGCCAATTTTTCGGTCAGCAGCTCAGCAGTTTAACCTGCTGCACCAGCCTAACGGAGCCCACCTCACTCCCAAAATTCGAACTGCCAACTTTTCGGTCAGCAGCTCAGCAGTTTAACTTGCTGCACCACCAAAGGGGGGGGGGTCTACCTTTACCATTTATAAAACTGCAATATACATCATAGTTTCAACTTCCTTTCCATTTTAGATTTTTAATAATTTAATTTCTTTTCAGTACCCCACAGAACCACCAGATTGTATTGTGGATTTACCAGTTCAATTCTGTGTCTCCTGGATTCCACAGGTAAGCAGTTTAGCTTTGTTATCTCCAGTTGTACCCAACTTGCCTATTCAGTAGGCTACTAGCAGGTTGTGTAACGTAGCATCTGAGTTTGTCATATTTCTCATTGCATATCACTAGAGAAGGAATGGAGCCCCCGGTGGCGCAGTGGGTTAAACCCCTGTGCCGGCAGGACTGAAGACCGACAGGTCACAGGTTCGAATCCGAGTAGAGGCGGATGAACTCCCTCTATCAGCTCCAGCTCCTCATGCGGGGACATGAGAGAAGCCTCCCACAAGGATGATAAAAACATCAAATCTTCTAGGTGTCCCCTGGGAAACATCCTTGCAGACGGCCAATTCTCTCACACCAGAAGCGACTTGCAGTTTCTCAACCCGCTCCTGACACAACAAACAAACTAGAGAAGGAGTCACCAAGAAATAAGTTCACAACCAGAGCTCCCCTGGGATTGGCAGAATCACATGGTTTTAAACTTTTCCTTATTACATAGACCCCTTGGTATCTCTCCCAGTTCTTTGCACTCCCTGATGGGCAAGATAAAATCTTTTTGATTTAGCCCGTCTTCCAAACTGTGGTCAACCTACACAATCCTCATACATCCTCCCCACCTATATTTCTGTTTCTGTTTATATTTCCCTTTTTTTATTCTGTAGAGGAATCTGGCATTCACAGCTAGGCCTGTAGCCACTACAGGTAGTGCTGCTAACATTGATTTAAAAAGAAAAAACCTGGCCATAGTTAAATGTAAATGAACTCAGCTATTAAATGAGATCTCTTTTTGTATATACTCATATATGGAAACAAAAGACTATTGTGGGAAGGAGGGATGGGTATTGGACACTTTTTCATTTTTCTCAGAGGAAGGAAATGAACAAACAGCTAGTCTTCTAATTTTTGCCTTTCAGGGATGGTTTCATTGGTTAGCGATTTCAGGAATTTCCAGTCATTCTGGTTCTGTCTCATATTTTAATTCAGATTATAAGCATGGTAGATGAAGGGAATACTGTGGATGTAGTATATCTTGATTTCAGTAAGGTCCCTCATGATATGTTTGCAAAGAAGCTAGTAAAATGTGGGCCCAAAACGTGAAAAAACACATCTTAGCTACTCTGTTTATTTTTGTAAAGATGCTACTTGAACTAATGTGTTAACTGCAGAATGTACTCAAATAGGCAATATGCTTTTGCTGAAGTTATTTTTGAGGGAAGGTTGATTTTGCAGACTCATAGATCTCAGCCATCCTTCCCCCCACCGCGATAATTGAGAAATCATTTGGGTGAATCCCATTATTTGCTGGATCCTTCCCCACTGAAAAAAAATATTACTGTGAACATTCATCGTTCACAGGAGACATCTAGATCCCGCTCAGGCAGCAGATGACATGTCTTCCTTGTTTTCAGTAGTTTACTGTTCAACATTATTGCCACATTCTTGAGTATGAGTACCTTTGATATGTTTCTTATTTTCCTGCATCCTGTATTCCTCAAATTGTCTCTGTTTTGCTATGAGACACAAGGGAAATAAAGGGTCAACCCTATAAGGGAAAGTTTGAGACCAAAGGATGCTAGCCAAGGCTGAGCACCTTCATCCATTCTTCAACTTATTCCTGGATGTTTTCTTCAAGTGTGACAAGAATAAACATTTACAGTAAGTGACTGGAATTACATTTAATGGAAAAGGCTATCAATAAATTTGATTTTGAACTTAATATTATTAGTGTTTGCTCCAAAGAACCATGAAGCTAATTCAAGCCCATGGGTGACTAGGTAAGGGTTTCTCTACATTCAATACTTTTCACTCTTGATTTTTCCCCTCTATTTAAAAAAGAAAGAGAGAGAAAAGCAACATGATCTTGGCTATTGACTCCAGTTCAGTAGGGACTCTTTTCTACAGGTAGGATACCTGTAACTTTAATCACTGTAGCTCTGTCTCTCACAGCAAGGAGGAGCAACACAAGGCTAGCTGGAGTGAAAATTCTAATTTACTGAAAGTAAACCTAACATAATTGACTGATGATAAGATGTTACACCAAAGTCCCAAACAAAGAGCTAAGACAAATCCACAGATACTTTGTGAAATCAATAATGGTGGCTTAGAATATCTGATTTCCAGTTTAATTAAATATGTTCACGTGGAAAAAGAAATTACATGAGAAATTAGTGTTTACAAAAGTTATAGGTTTCTCACACTTACCTGGTAAAAAACTTCCTTGTTAGAAATATTGTCATTACTGTTAAATGTACATACTTGACTTCTATAAATCATTTGCACAGAATTACTGGTTTGTGCTGTTCATGGGATGCCCCCCTCTGGCAAGAATGCAAAATACTCAGTTTTTCAAGAATTTCTTATATTAAAATCATTTTATTTATTGTTTATCTAGTGCTGTAAGATAATGTGGTGCTTTTACAACACAGCTCAAGTAAAACAATACATATTCTTGTCATCCTGATCTGCTTCCCACCCCGTTCTGTGCATACATAATAATGTCCATATAAGGCTCAGGCATGCAACGTGGGTTTGTGAAAGTTTGGACTGGAGTTAGGAAAGAAGTGTGAAAGTGGGAGGAAGAAATATCAACAATTTAATATATGAAGATGACATCACACTACTAGCAGAAAGTAGTAAAGACTTGGAACAATTACTGAAGAAAATCAAGAAGTGCAAAGGTGGGTTTACATTTGAAGATTAAGAAAATAAAACTCATCCAAGTAAATTGATAAAGATGTTAGGCCCAGTGCTATTCAACATCTTTAGTAATGATGATGGAATAGGCAATCAAAATGAAATGTGCAAATATAGGATGGGTGACACCTGGCTTGAAATCAGTATATGTCAAAGCGATTTAGTGGTCATGGTAGACCACAAACTGAACATGAGTCAACAGTGAAATGTGGTAGCCAAAAAAGCCAATGCGATTCTAGGCTACATTAGTAGCGGTATAGCGTCTGGGTCAAGTGAAGTCATACTCCTACTCTATTCTACTTTAATCAGACCTCACCTGGAATAGTAACACTGTGTCGGATTCTGGTAGCACAATTCAAGAAATAGATGGATATGCTGGAACATGTTCAGAGAAGGATGGTCAAAATGATCAAAGGGTTGAAAGCCATGAATCCCCGTGAGAAGTGACTGGGTATGTTTAGTTTGGAGAACAGGCTGTTACTGGATATGAGATCCATGTTTAAATATTTGAAAGGATGTCAGATTGAAGAGGGGAGAAGTTTGTTTTCTGCTGCTCTAGGGACCAGAACACAAAGCAATGGATTCTAATTGCAGGAAAAGAGATTCCACCTTAACATTAGGAAGAACTTCTTGATGGTAAGAACTGTCCAATAGTGGAATAGGCTGCCCCGGAGTTTAGTGGAATCTTCTTCTCTGGAGGTTTTTAAGTAGAGGTTGAATGATCATCTGTTGAGAGTATGTTGATTGTATTCCCCTGCATGGCAGGGATTTGGACTGGATGACACTTGTGGTCTCTTCCACCTCCATAATTATATGAAAATAATGATCATAGATGATGTATAGTGCCCCGATAAGTTGTTTTTTAAATCTTCAAGTTGTTTCTGAGTTATGGTGATCTAACATATCATTAGGTTTTCTGGAGCTAAGAGTGTGACTCATCCTAGGTCATCCAGCATGCACAAATTGAACCATGGTCTCTCTCCAGACTTGTATTCCAACACTGAGACTGCAACATCACCCTCTCCCTCTCTAAATTCCACAGACTCCCTCCTGTTTTTGTTTCTGTGAAGCAGGAGTGGTGATGCAAGTATTCAATTCGAGAAACAGGAGCATTAATGTGCATTACTTCACCCACTCCCTCTCTAAATTCCACAGACTCCCTCCTGTTTTTGTTTCTGTGAAGGAGGAGTGGTGATGCAAGTATTCAATTCGAGAAACAGGAGCATTAATGTGCATTACTCCTTGTGCCTTCAGTTCCCAGGCTTCCATTTCATGCTGTAGCTTTGGACCTAAAAAATCCCTCTTTCATGAGCCCACCATCACCAAACACACACACACACATAGATGCAAAGGGCATTGTATCATATTTTAACTTAGTGGTACATAGTATACATACATAGCTCAGTAAACATATCTTCAATTTTAGCTAGTATTTCTGCTATGTTATCCCACAAGAAATGAAAAGCACAGGTTTCTGTGAAAATATGTGTAACTATGTCTATGTAATCCAACTGTACTCTGAAGAATGTGTCAGCTTTCTTAAGAGGGTCCTCAGTAACATTTATTTCATATTGTTTGCTGGTGTTTTATCACAATGTGAACAAAAGATTGTGTGTGCCTGCTGTGGGACTGGACAAGATGTCATTCTGAGGTAATAGTCATCTTAATTCTCCCAAAACCACATTTTGCAGTAGCATAGATAGCAGAATGCATGCACAAGTGGTGTCTACTAGCAGACCTGTAAAAACTCTGAAATTTGTGCAATGACAATTGAACTAGCTACAATTTACAATTTTGGATCATGTGATTTTAATATTTACACAAGGATGTTTTCATGCTTTGTCTTAATGTTTAAATGTTAATTATGTCCTATGTTTAATGGTTTTAATGATTCATAGTCTTAGTTATATGCTATCGTTTAGTTATTATTTCTTTTCATACATGTATGTGGACTTTGATTTTTTGCCATTAAAATGTTGAAAACCACCTTGAGTAATTCCAGGGGTGAGAAAGATGGGATATATTTACAATAAATTAAAAAAATTAAAACTATAGAAATACAACATAACAAACAACAATAAACAAAGAAAACAACAAACAACAAAACTTTATTACGGTCCATGGACCCACAGCTGTTAAATAACATACAGGAGTTTACAACATAATTTAAGGAACTACAGGACAATAATCTCTCCCCCCCCCCCCGCCATTCTTTCAGCAGAAGAATTTTTTTTCAGAAAGAATTTGGACCAATTTATTTATTTATTTATTTATTTATTTATTTACCACGCTTGTACTCTGCCCTTCTCACCCCAAAG